TTTTAGTTTCATCATTTATGCCTCATCTTACAAGATGTATATATTATATGTACGCGTTCTGTGTCAAAGCGGCGGATGGGGCGGTAGCAACAGCAGCAGAACCAACTGCAGCAGCGATGGTATCGCATTCCAAACGAGACTCCAGACACTTTAGCCGACGCTGTCGCGTGTCTCGGGACGGCGAGCGTTATTTTTCTCCCATCCGTGTTTACACACGCTCCCGTGCAAACACCTTGCGTATCGCTCCGCGTGGCGATTGGTATGCGACTGGGAAGGTCGACACTCGAGATCTGCGTACGCTGCAAACGATAAATATCTGCGCGACCAACTCCAAGTTGGCCATTAGACGGATCCTTCCCGATCGCGACACACTGGATCGCAAAGTTATTAGCGCGCCGTTCAATAAAAATATAATGACAGTAGTACTCTCTTTCCGTAGTTCTACAGTTCCTTATCAAAATAAACAAAATTTCGCAATGTAGAAGACATCACTTGGACAAAAAGTGTTGTGCTAACAATTTATCGCAATTTCTGCGACATTTCTCGTTAATTTTAGCAGAATTCTATGCTCTACATTTTAACACAGTTACGGCTACTACTTTTTCAATTTTGGTTTTTTATACTAAAAATAATGTTTTATAAAAAAAATGCGGAACTCTTTTTTATTTTTAAAAAGAACTCTAAGTACAACTCTATGAAAAGTGCTACCGGAACTGTCGTTATTTTTTTTATTAATTTAACGAACTGAAAGTTATCTGCCCTGCCGGGCAGTGGAAAGAACGGCGGGATAATTCTCGTGGCGTGGCGCGGTCGCCGGCATCGATTCATTGAGAGGTTTTTCTTAGCCGAGCTGAAATCCTTGAAAACGAGAACGATTACGAAAATAAAAGACTCGCGGACGTACGTCGCGACGTGAAATAATACGTCTGTCTCTCTTCTCCCACTTCCTCTCTATCTCGGATATAGAGAAACGAGGACACTTAAGAGCCGCGGCAAGCTGCAGTCAATTCCGTAATTGCTTCTTTATCGTGATCTTCAGAGAACCGACAGAATTGCTTTATTACAGGGCTTTCGGTCTGCTTCCAATTTTCCGAGCCACATACGCCGCCCGCCACCCGCCGCGCGTCTCTGCGTGGCCCACATTTAGTGACTGCGTTTATTGTATCGCACGCGCGCGCGAAACGCACCTCGCGATTCTCGCTAACTCGTCCGCTCGACGCTCGTTTCCTCCCCGTGGCATTTATCCCTATGATTTATCCCCTCTCACGATAGCGACGCGATCGTCGGATCGAGAAGCGCTCTTACTCCAACATCGAGAATTCCGACAGCAAATGCGGGATTTAATGCGCTCGCTGTACCTATTAAATTAAATTGTCCGTTTCCGTACGCTTGAAACTCGCGAAATCTCCTCGTTAAATCACTTGGAACCTCGAAACACTATCTCTCGGTGCGCCTCAAGTGCCTCGATGCATCAAAAGAAAGCGAGTAGGTCTGCTTTTCGTTGCCGTCTCTGAACTACACTAAAACTTTTTTATTTTGTTTTCGTCAAACTTCAAATAGATATATAATATATTTTTTATTTATTTTTTGTGCATCTATTTGTATTTTAAGCACATATTGAAAAAAATGTTTTGTTGCGTTAAAATTGAAATTCACGTAGATTCAATCAGAAAGGTGCTAGTCAAACATTTGTTAAATGTATTAAACATTCCATTCCAGTCGAGATAACCAGAAATTCAATTATGATTCATATGATCAGAATTCGTTTTGTAATTTGTTTGTACTTCTTGTTAATCAACCAGAATATTTTTCTCAGTGTGACAAATTCAGAAACGTACAAATCAGACACTTTAAAGCTTGCGGCATACGATGCGTGCTTTCCTGCTTGCGTTTTAATAGATTATTAGAAATTCTTTGTTCTGTGTGTGATGTAATAATTTATTATAATAATTAAAACGCAAGAAATCCAGCAGGAAAATGCATATACCGCAATCTTTACAGTTAATCTATCAAACATTCTAGTCGAGATAACCAGAAATTCAATTACGATAACTATAACTCTGATCGATATGATTAGAACTTTTTGTTTGTATTTCTGGTTGATAGAATCAAAACATTTTGTTCAATGCAACAAGCGTACTCTAGTTCAGCCACAAAGAACAGACCTCTCTCTCCTCGTACGCGATATCCCCTAAATATCCAGAGGATTTCCAGTAACGGCAGTCGCCTCTCGAGACACCCTGTATATCCGGCGTATCTACCTCGCGGTTGATTTCGCGCTTCTGGTCCGCGTTGCGATAACTCGATGGGGAATAAAACGCACAACGCGACGGCGGCGACGGCGGCAGTCAGAAACTGCTGAAAGACCGCAGACGATCGCAGATAAACATGAAAATTCGACGGCGACGACGACGACGACAACGACGACGACGACGACGGTGGCGACGGCGGGCGACGCGACAGGCGTCCTTGCTCCAACCACTCGCGCTACTACCGATGACGTAATCGTCGCGATACCCCGCAATCTTGGCGCCGCGGTAAACTCGTAATATCTATTTTTATCTGTGGTGGAAGCAAGGGGCTCCCCGATTCCCCGCCGCCGCGTCGCCCATCTTTCTCTTTCCCGTGCGTGACGCTGCTCTACGACACAGTACACACACGCCAGCTCGTCGTAGAGCCGTGAGGAGAGAGAGCCAGGCCGAGCCGAGCCAAGCCTCGAGATGTCCGAGCGAGGCCTCGGAAATCGAACGATGTTTATTACGGTTGCGATAAGGCTGTTTTCGGTCGCATCGCGCATTTTCGTGCAGCCATAGCTTCCGGATCTCGGAATTCGATGTGACGAATTTCTGAGTCTCTTTGTTGAGTTGTTCCTTTGGCTTCCGGGACTCTGCTCGTCGATCGCGTTACCGATCATCGGCAAGAAATCGCGAACGTGGGAGATCATCTTCAACGGCTGCGCGCTAGGTGACGCAAAATTGCTCGTTTGGAATCACGTCGCGGAGCGGAAGACTCTAAAAAAGAGTAAGCAAAGGATTTTAACATTAAAATATTTAAGTGATGTTAATTTTTGTATAATTGTATGAATAAAGTGTTGTCATCCAGATTTATTCATTAAAAACTTCAAAAGATTTAAATTTATTTATTAATGTGATAAAAATAATAATAAATGATAAAAATAATTAAAATTGGATATAATTTGATCATGAATTTAAAATTAATCGTCTAACATTCTACGCAAGAAATTATATTACTCAACGTTAATTGAAAATTATCTCACATGTTTACTATTTAAAATAATTATAACGAAAGCTTTTTCATTAACATCATAATTTGTAATGACTTTTCCATTCTATACTTAAAATGGATCTTAATTTATATTTTATTTACATGCAACTTTTAATGTTACCTGTAATATTAAAATATAATATTAGATGTTATTAAATATGAAATAAATAATAATAAATGTCAAATTGATGAAAGTAAAGATTAAAATAATATTTAATATCGAATCGATAAAAATACAGGGAAAAATTATTATTATATAAATATTAAATGACCCTCTATAATATAAAATGTTAAATCGATAAGAATAATATTAAGACTGTGTATAACACGACGTGCCAAGACGTTAACACCGATGATCGTGTTAACATTAATCCGTGACTGTCTTCCGTGTCATTGTATTCTGGGCTCGAAACAAATCGGCACTCGATGTTGCACCATCGTACGGTGCGTCTTGTGTCTTTCTCCGTCTCCGAATTCTTATTTCACTCGGCCGCTACGTCCGGCCTGCGGGATCCTGGCGCCGATCCCAGACGGCGGTGACGCCGCCGGAGACGCTGTAACGACGAAAAGCGTGGGAGATTTGCCGGCGTTCCTTTGTAACCTCGGCTTCTCCCGGTGTAAACCTCTTTACCGGAAAGGACCACTCGTTAACAAAGAATCCCGAAGAGAGGCGTCTCGTCGGGCCGACATCCGGTGGATAAAATGTTCGGAAAATCGGACGTTTCAAACACGATTAGGCGAAAGACAACAATGCTCTAACCTTTTACGATCATATAGGTGTGTAATCTGGGTTGTGCTCGATAAAGTATTTTTAGCTGATTGTAAGGTGGGTCATATCTGAAATATGCAGCGATTATTATTTACAGACATGACAGGGCAGATAAGAAAAATAGTTTTTGAACAATAGTGATGAGAGATAGATTTAATCTTTTTTCTTTTGAGCTGACAATAATAGCGGAAGTCTCGGTATTATTCTTCTTGACTGGATAGAGCTAGATAGAATAGACTAGAAGTGTCTTGTGCTGTGTCCTGCTTCTGCCTATGGCCATGTTCCGATTACATGCCAGTATTGAAAATCTATACGTAACGTACTGTAGATTTTTAGTATTGACGATGTATATATCGGAAATTTGGAACATGGCTTATTATAAAAAATTTGGTTGACTCATCTAATACGTTCTGGTGCACATTAAAGCTATCATATATAGATTGATGCGTGTTTAATTAAATATAGAAATTTGATTAAGTTTTGGTTAAACTACGAAATCCTCAATACACATTATTGTGCTGTTATTAGTTTATAATTCAAATATTTATATTTCATTCTTATACTCAGGTTAAATCACCGTCACGCAAAGGTAGCTTAACAAAAGAGTTTTGAAAGATCACGTTCTACCATAAAATATATAGAAAAAGGTTTTATATGTCTTCTTTTTACAATTTTTTTTTAGCATATAACAATGCATTCACACATACTATTTCGCAATTATTTATCACAATTCGATCGTATTTTAGAAGAAGAAATTTAATATACTTGATGCAATTGCACTGATAACGACTTTTTAATTCGTAAAGACAAGCACGTGTGTACGAAAAAAAAATACTGAATGTCGTAAACGATATACGGTCATCGATTGATGATAAACAATAGCAACGCTTAACGTACCACATTTTAGATCAATTTTAAATGTCCCTTTTTTCTTGATTGTTTATAGGTGAGACAGGACAGAGGGAATGGTGCACCTTGGCGTATTGGGAATTAGGCGGCCGAGTTGGTCGTTTGTATCCCGTGGAACCATCGACAGTGAACGTCTTCGACTCTCTTCATGATGGCGACGGTCTCTGTTTAGCGACTCTGGTTGAAAATCACAATGCTCCGCCCGCAGTCCAGCGTACGCGCAGCAAAATCGGCCTTGGTAAGTCCGATCTCAGAAACTCTTTTTCAAGATTTGGTTCATTTCATAGTAAAATGACAATCTAAAGAATTTGGAAAGTATATAAAACGCTTTTAATTCTTTATTGAACAACTTATATTTAAAATAAAAAAATGTTTAAAGAAAATAATGTACATCCACTTGATAGTACTAATTCCCAAAGATCTCAATATATAGATAGATAAGAAAAATCCCATTTTTTGTCGTAGGGCTAACGCTCAGTCAGGAAGCGGACGGTGTATGGGCGTACAATCGGTCGGAGAGCCCAATCTTCGTAAACTCGCCCACCCTGGACGATCCGGAATCGAGGACGTTATTGGTTTACCGGGTGCCACCGGGTTTCTGTCTCAACATCTTTGACCGCGCCAAGATCATGCAGCTTCCATACGGCGG